AATTAATTGTTGAAGTTTGTGCATTTTTATCCGGTTTTAAAGTGGTCGGACACTTTTGACCGGGGAGTGTACATGTACATGTACAAAGAAATACCGAGTGGTAGCATTCATATACCTTATAAAGAGACAAATCTCGGAGATTATGCATAGAAAAACTTTAATGAAAAACGTACGGGTTTATCTGATAAATATTCTGAGTTGAAGTGCGTGTGCATGCGCATGTATTGTGCAAACAGCATCGAAGTAATATAATATTTTCGTATTCAAAAAACTATAAATTGATAGTTTTAGTTCGAATAACCCGTTTAATTCGGAAAGAATTTGAAAAATGGCCAATTCATTAAATTGCAAATGCAAAGCAATAAAAAATATTTGTCGAGAATACAATAATCTCAATACTGCTTCAATAAATCGCAACGAAAAAGGTAATTATAAATTTTAAGTGCGAAGTAAGCGGATGCTTTAATCCATTACGATTTTTATGCTTTAAATGCATTTTCAATAGATATTCGTACGATATGTAAAACTTGCAATCCAACCGACATCCTGAATGCTATAGTAATGAAGATGAAATTAATGAATATGTGAATAAACAACAGGAAACTACGAGAAAGATAAATTCATATGGGAGGCATGGGAGGCAAAACATTCTATTTTTAAAATAATTAATCATGAATATGAATGGATTGATTTCAAAGAATTCTTTGACAAAAAGTACTCGGCAAGAGGAGGATTTGAAGTAGTTTTTTCAGGAAAATGGAAAAATGACTTGATAATACAAGCTTTACCAACTTATTTACTTAATAGAAATTATCCCATCAAAATCACCATGATTGCTTTAAAGACTTTCAGAGTTTGAAAATTTGCTCTACTTGCAATGAAAAAGGATTCATTGACATCAATGCTTGAAGGATGGATGCAAGAAACGTTGATTTTTCCTGCTTGTTATGCATCTCGGCAAATATTCGTTGAAAAATATCTTATGTAAAACTTGCAATCTAAATGGTATTGGCCTTTGCAATAAATGCTATAATGGTGTGCATTTCAAGAGAATATTGGTATACGCGCATGAATATTAATGACCATGTAGAGAAAACAATCGGACAATACGAGATAGATAAATTCATATCGAAAGCACAGCAACAGATCAAAGGTTTGGAATGGATTGCTTTCAACAACTTTTGTCATATCAAATATTTGGCAAAAGGAGAATTTGTGACATTATATTCAGCAAATTGGAAATCTGGCAAAGATAAAAAAGTTGAAAATTTCTCAAAATAATTTCTTAATGAAGTAAAGAAGATTACATTATAATTAAAGTTCTAATTTATACATCATATGTTAATATGGTTTTATTAATATAGCTTTATGCTTATTATGAATGATAACATGTTACGGTATTTCATTTTATTCAGAAAAAAATCAATTAGTTTTAGTATTAAAATTCGCAATACTCGACAATATACAAAATGAACACCAAAATTTAAATTGGTATCGTCGAGTGCAACTGTTAGAAGGCATAGTTGAAAAATCTAAATCTGACACATTCAAAAAATTATATTCATCGTGGCATTCATAGCTTAAATGTGCTCAAAGGGAGACTAGTTCTCTAAAGTTATATAACTGATCTTGGATTATCGCAGCCTGTTAAAGAGGTTGATTTGACAAAGGAACATATGGTGTAATGCCTTATATGGCACCTGAACTATTAACTGGTCTATCATACACACAAAGCATCAGCTATTTACTCAACAGGAATTATTATGGCTAAAATTGCCTCTGACGGTCAACCTTCATTTAGTGATCGTAGTCATGATACCCAACTTCAATTAGCAACATTGATGGCTTAAGACCTTTAGGACTTCAAGATGTTGGAAGAACTTGATAGAAGATGTTGGCATAAATATCCATCTCGAAGACCTAACGTTGATCAACTTCTTAGAGAAATCAAAAAAATGCGATGTTTAGGCCCAAAACGGATAGAAGAGGATATTGATGAAAATGAAAAGAGATCGAAGTCAAGAGATCCATTCAGGAGCGGTTAACGCAGGCATATCTAGGTATGCCACGACGGTACACAGTTGCGATACATTTAGACATGAGTCCATCCGGGAGCAATCTATACAAACAGATTTGTTAATTATATCGAAAAGAAATGATACTCGTTGGCTGTAAGCACTTTTATCTGAAAAATTTTTCATTTGACTTTTTTATATAACGCCTGAACATGTGAATGTATATTTTTTCCCATGGTTCATGTTACATGTATAAATTAATACCGTATATTTATCTCAAATCTCCTCTTTTAACTTTTCTATTATAAAATTAATACATATATCAATTAAAACTTAATTACTTCGAAATTTGATTGGAATCCTACCAACGTTGTTAGAAATAGCTATATTATTTATTTTTTCATTGTCTTATATATTTCGTAATAAATCTTACCAATAATAATCTTAAATATGCCGCAACCTATGTAGTTCCTCCGAAAGCGACACAAATGAAAGGGTTGAAGTTTACTTGCCAGCTCGAACAGAAGATATGACTGAATTCACTATAAAGAATACAAAACACTCGTTTAATCGAAACGGGTGCTATATTTGACATATTTTAAACAAATAATTTCTCATTTATTTGTTATTGAAATAATATAAATTTAATGTTATTATGTTTTCGATTTTGTACATGTACAATAACTATTAGTATATACGTGAATTAATGATATATTGGCAAAATCCAAATAATCGTCTCCATAAATGTATATACAGTAAATTAATTAGTGTGTTAACCTTCCTTTATTAAGTTCTAATATTATAAAGCAAAATTCTGGCTACATCATTGATTCTTTGAAAATATTAAAGCAATTTAAATATTTATAGACTTAAACATGCAAGGTTTGGGCACTAAATATATTTCCAAATCTTCGGAGATAAGTAAGAGGAAAAATATATACTGTATTTATTATTCTAAAAGGTATTTCATCAATTATAAGTTAAGTGACTTGTCAGATTACTAACGCTAAATCAAGATTTAGATGTCGAATGTACATATCGATATAAAATAATACACGTATTGACTCATCATATTTTTTGAATCAAATTTTCAAATAAATTCAAAGAAATAACGAGTCAGCTGTGATACACAGTGAACCCCCGTTAAACCGAAGCACTAATTAAAATCCCGTTAAACCGAAGTTCGCTCAAAAACCGTTTAATAAATTTAATCTATAACTTAGATATTTATTTATTAATATTAAAATAAAGTTAATATTAAACAAATAGAACAGAATATTTTTAAATAATAATTTAAAATTATATAAATTATTAGTATATTGATAGTATTTTTAGAAGATATTTATTAATTAATTAATAATATAAAATAAATATTATAATTATAATAATCCAAGTTGACTCTTGGATAATTTGGACAGTTTGGAACATCATTATGTCCTGGCCACTATCATAAATCTCACTAAAAGGTCGATAAATAGGATGACGATGGACAGAAGGGTCAGCATGAGCTGCCTCATGAGGAATAACAGGAAAATAACCAAACCCATTAAAGTTATAACTCCCTTCTCTTATATTATAAAGGACCCTGTTAAACTGAATTTATTAAGTAAATCTCTGTAAACCGAATTTCTCACTAATAGCCCCGACCACTTCGGTTTAACGGGGTCTACTGTGTAGTAGACATTACGAAACATGTACAATTAAAAAATTACATAATGATAAACTCATTGATTTAACTAATTGCAGAAATTATTGAAAGTACGGTATACAGATATGAACGACTTTGATTCAACGCAGGATATTTTTTTCTTTTAATGTCACAGCAGGTTGAATGTAATTTGACATTCAATTTTCTTTTCAATAATTTCTATTTTATAAAATAATAAATATTGCTTCTATTACAATTCTTTACTTTAGATTGAACATTTTTTTACTAATGAACAAAAACTCGTTGACTTTAGTAAAATTTTGCGTAATCGCTGTTTCATAATCAACTCTATCACAATCTTAAAATTCTGTCCAGACGGAACATGTATTGTGGCTGGATATATTTCGAAATAGAGGTTCATAGCAATGCCATGTACTTTTTCATGCTAGTATTTATCATATATATGGGCCGTTGCAAGAAGATTGATACACCAATATATAAATTAATAGTTGCTTCTAATAAAAATTATTAAATTTAACTAATCTTTATAATTTTTTTATATTAGATAAAAAATGATCTAATTTACTTTTTATACTATTTTAATTATTTTATTATACTTTAATTTAATAATAAATGAAGTATTACTTTACTAAAAAAACTAAAGTAAAAATTTTTTTTAAAAAAAAGACATTTTAAATATTATCACTATCAATTTATAATATTAAAACTTCAAATTACACAAGCAAGTTGCCTTATATTTGATAAATATATGTTCTAAATTTCATAAAAATTGAATCAGTAATTATAAAGATATTAGAATTCAAAATTTAGTAATTAAATTATTTACTATGTAATTTTTATATTAATTTTAATCAAATTTTATATAGTAAATTTAAGAAATAATAATTGAAAAAAGTCATTATTAGTAAAAATTTTTTTATAAAAGATATATAATAAAAATTTTTATATTTAAATAAATCCCAATACCTAATAACTTAATTAAATAAAATAGAATTAAAAATTTTATTTTGAAAAAAATAATCTATTAATATTTATCTGATATATCAAAATTTTTACAATGGACCATATCATTTATATACAGTCAGACCTCCATAAATGCAATTTGCTTGGACCAACTTTTTGACAGCTTGCATTTAGGTAATAATTAGAAAAATTGCATTTATGGAGATTAAGATATATTTGGGCCAGAGTTTGAGCTTGCATTAAAAGAGATGTTTCATTTAATGAGGTCTCATTATTCTATTATTACATGATTTTCAAATATGATGATGTGTCATCTTATATAATAAACTCTTAAAAAATTGGTTTAAATATAGAACTTAGTTTCTAAATCAACCCTTAATTCTTTAGCATCTTTCTTTCAACTTTTCAATATAATCTTTTATTATAATCTGTTATCATTGTTTTGATAATAAATACGCTTACTAATTCACAACATTTATATATCTTGAATTCATATTCATCAAAAATTTGTTACATAACAAATTATTTATCATTAATTTTTTACTTTCATTAACAGAACGCATGTCCTGAATCTGTGCCAGGTTTTGGAAAATTTACTGTAATGATAAAGGTTGATTTTTAAGAAAGGTTAGAAGTTACATATAAAATTGCCTCGCTGACATTTTTTATTATATAAAGCTAGATTTAAGAATTCATTTTCTGTATTTTTCCACATTTTTCATCTTTTTATGTCGGATTTGTTTGCTGGATTGAACAAAAATTTATGCATTCTTATTGGTTGCTGGGAAAAATCTGCATATTCTCATCGGCTGCTGGTGGATATACCCCAAAATCCCGAACGTCTCGCTCCCAACATTCCGACATTCCCAAATTCTGACATACTAAAATCCCGATAATACACTTAAAATTATGCAAAATTATGCAATAAAACATTGATGTGAAATATATTGATCACTACTATCGTATGATATAGATTAAATATGCATAATCCATTATAAATAATATTATGTGATTTTGTTTGACAAATTATAAATTGATGTTTTTTTTAAATCAAACTTGAGCTTATTCAAATATGATTTCAAAAATCAAGTTTAAATCCAGTTCAATCTTGTACAGACTCAAACTTGGCTTAAGTTTAAATTTACAGAACACTAGCGCAAATAAATTCAATTAAATGCTGGAAAACAATAAAAAATTGCGTTTATGGAGATTAAGTAAATATTTGGACCAGAGTTTGAGCTTGAATGTAGGGAGATGTTGCATTTAGGGAGGTCTAACGGTACTTTATAATGCTTCCATTCATTTTTTTGTCTTTGAATAAATTCAAAAAAATTATGTTTATATAATATCTTGTAAATAAAATGAGCCAAATTTGCTGAGGTTATCTTGCGAGCATTCTTTATTACTAGCATTATCATATTAAAACTTATTGGGTTCAATTTCGCGTTCAAAGTTTTAGAAAATATCGATATATTTGATCTTTCGAATCGTGTAAAACAATTTATTTGTGTTCAAAATGCCACGAAATTTATAATTCAACATATCGATAGTACATGCTGTAATCATTTGAGGTAACGAAAGATAAGTAATTTTCCAAATGCAGTGGCAAAATAAGATTTACATTTTAATATCTCTTTGTATTCTGTTATTACATTATGACTAAGATCCTGCAACAGACACTGGTAAATGTACATGTACATGGTTCGAAAAGAAAAAATTATCTTTATACATGTAAGTTAATACAAGAAAATCAGCTGATTTATTAGATACCGAAATTCTTCTCCCCGTGTACCTTCTTCCCCTTTTTTTACTAAGTAAGTTTAGTTCATAAAATGAAATGTAACCGGATACTCGAGTACATGTGTGCGTGCACGCGCTTTGCGTAATTCAAATGACATCGTATCTGATTGGAGGCTGAAACTTAATTTTCATACGATATGTGCATTAAATTAGTTGTATGCTATATTTTGGTTCCGTAATATCTTTCAATTAAAAAAAAAGATAAGATCAATAAAAAATTAATTGCAAAACAATTAAGAAAGTATCGAATCTTACCTATAAGCCCTGACAGAAGTATTATACTCGTTAACTTCAACCTTATAAATTTGATCTATTATATTTTCAAGCTCCTCATTGGACATTTTCAGGAATGGAGCGAATAGAGGAATCTGTGCTTTACTTGCTGTCGCGTAATTTTCAGCCATCTATTTCAAGAGAAATTGATACAAACAAATCAATCCTGCGAGTTTACCATCGATTACAAATTAAAGAATAACATACCAGCTCAGCGAGTTTCCCGTGATCAGAGCCCATCGGTATATCAATAATTTCTTGAGATATATCTTTGAGCTGTTCACTTTTTTCCAAATATTCTTTAATTCGAATTCCAGGAAATAAATCTATCTCACGCTTCTCTAGAAAGTCTTGATCTATTTTGTTTGACGAAAATATAGATTAACTCCCACTTGAAGAAATTGTAGACTTAACACACAAAGATAAACCTACAAGAACTCATCATAGTTTTCAACAAAGGTCCAGGATTCGTAAACATCAAATCCACTTCCATGATTTCCAATATGCCACCTTGTTTCGTAACACGTAATAAGTTTGGTATGACCTTTTCCGCGTATTGTGCTCTAGTAAAACAAAGAGCCATTGATCGTTGATGACAAAAATCGAATGCGCCGTCTTTGAATGGTAAATCGTTAAGAATATTCATCTCGTAAAATTTAGAGTTACGCGGTTTTATATCGCGCGGCTGAATTGGAGAGATGTCAATGCCGGTGAAATTTGAAAGCGGGTATGTCATTGCCATCTCCATCACCCACGGACCAGGTCCACAGCTTGATTATGGCAATAGAAATAAATTAATATGGAGATGTCACAGGAATAATGAAAGACATGATACGAAAATTCTATCTCACCCAACATCCAAGACTTTGCAATCACCCGCCATTAGCTTCCGGTGAATGGGTGCTTTGAAATTTCCGTCCCAAATGGCTTTGTATAAAAAGTGCTGCATCGATATACGATCCAACTCTTGATAATCATTAGGTAGAGGGTATACTGAATCCACCAAATTATGAAATTGTCGACCATTAATATATCGATATTGTGATGATTGTGGTGATAGTGGTGATGATGAGGTTGGAGATTTTGTTTTTGAAGTGGGTTGTTCATCATCATGAATCAATGATGATGAAAGTGCATTAGTGATGTTTTTCTGTGCATTGGTTGAGGTAGTATAATTGTTCTTTATATTATTGTTGTTCTTTATATTATTGTTGTTCTTTATATTATTGCTGTTGTTGCTGCTGTTGTTGTTAGTATTATTGGTATTTTTATTATTATTACTATATCGTTTTGGCTTTGAAGAGATCTTAGTCGAAAACTGACCCATCGTGAAATAAAAACAAAGGAATGGAAAAGAATAATAAAAATTATTTTTATTATTTGATTAAAAAATAATAAAAAACAAGAACAAACTGTTGACTGATAGAATTCACCCATATTTGAATACACTAAAAAATCTTTTTGCTGTTGGACAAAAACCGTCGTCGTTCAGTAGATTAAATTTGTATATGCAGCATTGTTTTATCTTACGAGTTGATATCAGATAAATGACATGTCGATATACACACATGCATGCATATTTTCAGGTCTAGCCCGCCTGCGTGACACGTTTTTATAAAATGTATTTTTAATTTGTTGTTTTAATCCTAAAAATATATTACTGAAAGTTCGAGAAATACGACCAGTTATCTAATAATCCAATGTTATCGTTAATACATGTGGTAGCATATGAAAAATTGATTTCCTCGAATCCCTTCAGGAATAGCGAAAGTCCCCACTCACATTCTTAATTCTGAATTCTAATCATGTGAATTGAGACATCATCAATATCAAAATCATAGATTTGGCAGAAAAGCTGCTGTCATTGTTGTAAGTTCCAACGTCAAATTATAATCTAACGGTTTATCTAAATTGTATAATTACTCTAGTCTATAAGTGCAGGAGTTCCTTTGTTAAAAAATTGGTGAAAACTATAATAATTTGATGCTGACGAATATTAAAATTTCACGATTTAGGTTACTTTATTTAGTTATATACATTTTATTCTTCTAAGAAAGTTATAATAACCTTTTGCAATATGCTTTGAAATAACTACTAACTAGAATTTTACAGTTTTATTATTAAAGCTAATTTTTTTTGCTTTAAAAAAACTAGAACAAATGCTCGTACACGTATAAAGGATACTGGTCAATAGGAAAAAAAAATGATTCGCGCAATGTATATGTATAACTACAGGTACATATAACTGTAGCGGAGATTATATGGGTTGCACGATTCAATCAAACTATAAACAGGTAGTACACCGGTACATCTCACCTAGCGCTATACATGCAGTAAATGACAACCAAAATAAGAATGATTTTGTGTAATTCTTAATACATGTAAATTAGATATCGATTTGTATCTAAACCAATTAGAAACCTCGATATTTAAACATTCGTATGAAAATAGTATATATGATGATATTCTTGTCAATTTTTTTTTGGGCTATTGGACATATTCATTGAACACTTTACATAACTACATTTATAATTTGTTATTTTTTTTTATCTGAAACACCATATTTCTGAATAAGTACGGGAAAATATTTTTTTTATCGAAAAGTTTAGAATTGTGTAATCGATAGATGATAATATGTAATTGTAATCTGTGTGGTTCTCAGTTAGGTAAAGATGGGAAAATGAAAAATATTCCTAAATTCTAAAAATGTTGGCGAGAGTAACTGTAAAACTTATAACTCTAAACAGTAGAAATTTTCCGATGTATGTGCATGTATAAAGTCGATCGATTTAAAATTACTGATCGTACATGTGCATGAAAATAAAATTCTAACGTAACGATAAATAAAAAGGGGGGAGGTTCTTTTACATAGATTGCCATGCAATACTTCCTGGTTAGGAAATTTATAAAATTTTAAAACATACATGAATATATATAATCTAATCTATTGATGTTGCACATCATATTACGCTTTTTTATCTTGTCTGCAAAAAAACCCCTGCAGCTGCTTTTGAAATTGAGAATAAGTCTATTTTTCAAGGCAAACAAATTGTGAAAAGAATCATCCGTTGAGAATGTAAGAAAAAGATCGACTACTAATTTATGCTTCTTTGATGGATGAATGCATATTAATAATAATAATATCAAATTAACTGTCACAACAGATGATGAATAAATTTGAGGTACATTTATGTATGTTATCTGTTTTATCAAATCGTCTGTTTTCAATTCAATACATCACTTTACAGCTCTTGAGGGTTGCAATCGATATCGTAATTTGAATGGGCAGAAGATAAGGTTTTTGGGAAACTTAAAACATTTACATGCATAATTCGTACAATAAAACAGAAAGATATTCAAAGTGAGTAAATTTTGATGTCAAAAAAGATTGATCATTGACCTTTGAAAGATTCCCAAAGTATTAATTGACAATGGATTTTGTCAACCTTATAATTAGGAGAAAAATCGGTTTCGTTAGGATGGAACTTATGGTTATATTCAACACTACACTGACTACTCGTCCCCGTTAGTTTGGCAAATTCAACGTTTTTGCGGTTTTCTTGCAAAAATATCCAGAGAATGGAATTTGTACTTGGTCCGATGTAAGTGAGCCTGACGTAGCTGCTTAAAAAGATAGCCCTTTCTAACTCAACACGTTATCTTAAAACATAATATCGGAGAAGTTTTATTCTCTTTGACGGATATGACCGAAAATTTTATATTATACTAATTTTTACCTTTCATTCCATTTACTCGAGCCTAGAAAATGTAAGCTATTTTTCGCTGTAACTGAGTGGATATGCGCTTGAGTTCGATGGCTAAATCAATGAATACATGCTCAAAGTCTTGTTTGTTGGATTCCTTCCAAGATAAATTTCCTTTCTGGGCACAACAATATCTTTTTTCAATCATTATTTGGTTAACGAAGAAAAGTCGAGATCTTATTAAAAAAATTAGGTACAGTATACAGTATAGAGATTCGGTATTGTGCTTTCACTAATGATACCTGACGAATGACGAAATCAAGTAATTTTTGTTTTGACGAATTGACGATTGACAAATCTATAATGGTTGATAAATCCTATGATTATTGTTTCTTCTCTTTATGTAAACAAATTACATTATATAAGTTAAAATATGTAATTTAAAGTTAAATAGTCGATTCAGTATTAAGTTTTAAAATACCAGAAAACCTCTCATCATGTTATATTGATGAAACTTTTCACTAAGAAAATGTCAGTGGCGAATGAATTGTGTGACAAATGATTTGTTGCAACTTTATACATGTTCAATTAAAGATTGAGTTTTCGTTGCATTGAGTAGGAAAATGATTATTTTTAGTTAATGATAAAAACGAGTTTTTTAAATCACATAATCTAAAGATTAATTTTTATTTTATTTTTATTTTATTACTTAGTATATTGAAATTTCATATTTAATTATTATAATTTCATATTTAATTATTATAATTTAGAAATATCTATTTTTAGTATGAGTTAATTTTATTATTATCAAATCTCACCATTTTTGCACTGTATTTTCTTGATTTTGCATTTTATTTCCCTATTTTTACCTCAAATTTTCTCACTTTTGATAGAATTTTTCCAGTTTTGCATTGTGTTTCCCCATTTTTACATTGAATTTACCTGTACTATAATTAATATATAGATCTTTTTTACATGGTCAAAGATAGAATTTGAGAATTTGAAAATGTATAAATAGTAGCATTCTTCTCAATAATGCAAGCAAAAACTAAAGTATTAAATAATTAATACACTATTAAAGTTTTTTCTTGAATTGCTTGCCTATAACTTCTCTTATATATAATTAATCAACTCAGATTATAAACCGAAGAATTCTGAATGAGTATATTCTAATATAGTGTTGATTTTATTTTTTGAGTTTATGGGTTAATATAGGTATTTCAACTATAAAATAGTGACAATTTAATATTTGATTTGTTATTCTAGTTTTTGAGTTAAAGTAGAGTATTTTTATTAAAATTAGAATAATCTTATATTTATTTATATTATTATTAACTTTCATTTGAGTTTTATTTTTTCATCTAATCAAATAATTTTCTTTTATTCTGATCTTTCTTTTATCTTTTGATTCATATAAATTTCTATTTTCTTTTATTTTATATAATTATCTCTTTTATTTTCTTGTTTATAATATAATCTCTTAAATTTTTCTCTATTAAAATAATAATAGATAAAGAATTCTAGATAATTTTTTTATTTATATTCTATTTTTAGCTTATAAATTTTACACTTTATTTTTATAATTTTCTTTGCAGCTCAAATAAATAATTTTATATTTACTTATACTTAATGTTATTTGACTTAATAAGAAAAAATACTTGTAATAATAATAGATAAAGAATTTTAGATAATTCTTTTATTTATATTCCATTTTTAGCTTATAAATTTTATATTTTATTTTTATAAATTTCTTTATAACTTAAATAATTTTATATTTACTTATACTTAATTTTATCTGACTTAATAAGAAAAAATTCTTGTAGTAATAATATTATTTTCAAAACTTATATCTAAATCACTTTTATTTTTTATATAATTTAGCATAAAATAATAAATATATGATAATATTTATTATAAATAAATTCTTAACTATACAAATATATAGTAATAAAGATAATATATTAAAAATAAAAATAATTATTAAAATTTCTAAATTTTAATAATAATATAATATTAAAATTAAAATACTAATTAATTATTATGATAAATTAAAATAAATTTGGATTAAAATAAATTTTGAATCTTTTTTTATATATATTATATAACTTTATTTTATTATAATATATAATTTAATATTTATATACTAGTATATAACTTATTATTAATTATGTATTATATATAACTAATAATAATAATATAATAATAAATTCAATAAGAAAAAAAAGTAAATTTAATAGAAAAAAAAATTTTTTTATATGAATTTTTATCTCTTTTTTTCTTTATTTTTTACTTTTTTTTATTTATTTTATTATTTATTTAAATATTTTATCTATAAATTCTTAATTAGTTTATATAATTTTTTTTAATTAAATTATTTTTAAAATTACTTTCTTAATTTCTTTACTCTTTTTCTTTTTTTATCTATTATTTAAATATTTTATCTAAATAAATTCTTAATTAGTTTATAAATTCTTAAATTTTTTACTATTTTCTTTTTTAATATACTATTTATTATAAAATATTTATAGTATTAATTTTAAAAAATATGTATGTTAATTTAAAATGCTTCTTGTTATTAAATCTTTTTATTAGCTTATTATATTAGTTTGATATATTTTTTTATTGATTTTTATTATCTTACTCTTCTAATTTATTATAAGTTATTATTATTTTGTTATATAATTTTTTATATCACTTTTTCTTATTATTATATAATAGTTTTAAGTAATTTTT